AACCTGGGGTTAGCTCCATTTAATGGGTGGCTCTGAAAGATAGAGATTTCTTCGAAACTCAAAATGTAAAAGAATTGAAAAACTTAAGTTTTCTTGTTATTATTCATAACTGTGACCTGTAGCTCTAGTCTGAGGGTGGGCCAGAGGAAGTCATAGAATGGGGTATATTTTAGTTCAGGCCCTGAGAAGCAGATATTAAGGTGAGATTGGATGTACAATAGTTTTAATGAGAGAACACCAGTGAAGGATAAAATGAAGGAAGGAAGAGCAGGGTGGGAGAAACATCAGGCCACAATGTAAGTCTGACACCTGTAAAAGCTAAGGGGAAAGGAAGAAAGTTGGCTAGGAAGATCCTAAGACTGCAGCCAGTTCTCAGAAAGCTCGAACAGGCCTTTGGGGAATCCTCCAGCCAAAGCTGCCCATTAGAGCCAACCTGCATTTCCTGATAATGAGCCTGCACTAATATCTCTGCCCTGCTCAATCTTTGACTGGGAACAGCCCAGGGGAAATGTGGCTTCAGCACAAACACAATGGTGGATCCAGCAGGCGGCAACTGAGACTGAAATTTGACTATGCTCCCTGCAGCGGGAGATCTGAACAGGGTATTTCCATAAATGAACATAAAAGGTAGCAAAGGAGGAGATGATTCCTGACATCAGTTACTCACACAGCTCACACTTACCACACCCATCTCACTACCAGACTGCAGATGCCCATCGTGTCATAATGTTAGTCTAGGCCACCATGGCAATTTCAGGATCTGATGGTGGCCTATTAACCTAGGCGAGCTGAGTGGAATGGAGAGAAGAGCCAGTGGACGAGATATAGATGTTGGCCTGGCTAGAGTGGGTCCAGGCTATGCCCCCAATAGGCAGAGGGCTTGGAGAGAGCTTCTACCTTGCCTAGAGAACACTAGCTGCCTTTTTTTCTTTTTGAGCTTCCCCTTCTCCATGCCCTAAGACAGAGAATGATGCACACAGATGCTAAAGCAGAGAACCAACTACCATACCATACATGTAGCTGCAAAATTGTCTCAATTGTTTTTTTCTAAGAATGCTGATGTTGGTTCAAATTTAATTTTTCTATTTTAAAAATATGAATTGTATTATCAGTAGTGTAACTCAAAATGAATTTCATACAATGTTTATATTTTCTAGAGTTATTAATCATCAGCTTTATTACTTAAGTTTCTTTTTCCTAGATTAGATTGCAGGCCACTCGCAGCCCTGTCAACATCTCTGTGCTGACTGGGGACTAGCAGACTCCTCATGTTTTTTTCTGGGAGACTAAGGATATGAGAAGCCTGAGAGGAGCTGTATCCTTAGAGCCACAACTGTAGCCTGAAAGATGGGGTCATTGCTATGACTCTCCACAGCTGGGCCTCCTAGTCTTGAAATCACCAGGATGCAGGTGATGGGAGATGCCTGGGCTCCTCACTTCCTGCCTGCCAATAAGCCCCTAAGGTAATCTGGATGCATATGTGACTCTTTTTTGCAATGTGGAAGAAAATAGGACTAATATTTAGTAGTTGAGGAGACAGATGACAAGGATCGGAGGTGAGAAGATGTTAGTGGGACTGGAGAAGGAACCCCATTACTTGGTGCCTGAATGTTGCAGGATAAGGAAGAGTCCAGGAAAGCTCGAGGGTTATCTGCTTGGAGCTCAGGGTGGGAGGGGAGATAATGCACCACCAGTATAGGTAAGAGCATGGGGAAAGGGGAAGATTTGGGGAGAATTTGAAAAACTCAATTTAAGCAGGTTGAGTTTGAGGTGCCAGTAGGATCATTTGGGACATATCCCTAGTAGGGAGCTGGATATATAGGTCTATTCTAGTTGTTTATTGCTACCTAACAAACCACCACCAAACTCAGGGGCTTAACACAGCAACAAACTTATTTGCCTACAATTCTGCAATTTGGGCTTGGTGGAGAACTTGACCAGGGTTGCAGAACCTGCTTCTAAGATGGCCTCACTCACATGTGTGGCCTGTGTCCAACAGGAGCACAGCTTGGGCTATCAGCCAAGGGCCTCCATTGTCCTCCACTCGGCCTCTTGGGATGGCTAGGTTACACTTCTCACAGCACGGTAGTGTCAGAGCGGCTGGATTTCTTACCTGGTGCTTCCCCCAAAGGTCAAAAACAGAAGTGACTATCAAAGACAAAAAACAAACAAGCAAGGAAATAGATTTTATTTTGGCTACTGAAATAGGGAGAGTACCCAGCTTTGAAGATGAAGATCAGAGCGCCTTGGCAGGGTAGTTGTGCTTTATGTTTTTCTAGGGAGGAGTAGACAAGTTATAAATGGATTAACTATGATTGGGATTATTTTGTAATCAGGGGAAGTCTCTATCAGTCAGGAAATGTTTATCTCTGAGTCTAGCTAGTTTCAAGGGGACACACCGTTCTAATCTCAGCTAATCATTCACGAGACAAACAGGAAATTAAAGGAGTTTTGTCTGAGCTTGTGAACAGGTTTAGGCAAAAAGAGAAAGGTCTGTGTTTGGCTTTGTCACAGGTAAACAAGGAGTCATCTTCCAGTCTTATGAAAAAGAATGGATAGTGAATCTTACCTAAGTCATATTGGGAAGGGTGTGTTTTTTGTTTTAAGCCATTTCCCAGAACACAGACAGGTGGAGGGGTGGGGATTTCCTAATATGCTTCTGTTTTCCATCACTACAGCTATGGTCAAGTTCAACATGGTCACTGCAAAGCCTTCTTAAGGCCTAGGCCTAAGCTGCCATAGTCATTTTTGCCACAATCTATTGTTTAATGCAGGGGACAAGGCCAGCCCAGATGCAAGGAGTTAGGATTACACAAGGGTGTGAATACTGGGAAGGCACAGTTCATTAGGAGCCACTAAAATTATATTCTCCTACAGAGTCTGAATCTTGGGTTGGATGTTTAGAACAGGAAGCTACTTACATGCACCAGGTGGTAACAAACTACTTGGTAAGATCAGTCTGTAGGTGTGTACACTTGTGATTTCAGTGAAGTGTCTGTCAAAGTTGCAGACACAAAAGATTGGAGTTTTGAGGGTTGTGACTGAAGGGGCACACCTCAATAGTCCATTTTGGCAGCGTGGACTATTGGAAGGCATTCAAGGTCCAATAGATTCAAGAGAAATGTTTACCTGTCACTAAATTACTAAAAGAATCTACATAGATTGTGTGTCCTAGAAAGAGCTATTACCAGACTTACCTTTTTATCTGAATGACCTATTTGTATGGCAGGAAAAACATTTAATTACCAAACATCTGCTGTTCTGATTTTCCTGTGAATTACCTTTTCCCTCATTTAAACCCTGTTCCCCATCCCATTCCTGAGCTAAGGCTCAGTACAGCAGGTCCTTGAATAATGTCATTTCTCTCAATGCCATTGAGTTATGTTGATGAAATGCCCTAGGAACTTGTTTATATCAGCCTATAGTAAAATCAATTTTATTATATGTTGTTTCATTTAAAGTCACAGGCCCATCAAGAATGTTAAGTGAAGACTTACCGTGTAAGGCTCAACTGCCCAACTTGCCTTGGGTCTCATGTTCTTTTGGGACCCCACATGTATGTAATTAAATGTTTTTCTCCTGTTAATCTGTGCTATGTTAATTTATTAGACTGGGCAAAGACACTGAAAAGGTAGAAAATTTTTCCTTTTTGACATGATTTTCCTAGTTTCTCAGAAGCCCTTGTTAATATTGATCAACATTTTCTCCAACATTTTTTGGGATTTTATTGTTCGTTCTGTTTCTTGAACACCATGTCAGTATTCGCTAGTTTAACAGTAGTGATGACTGGTCTAGTCACAACTGTCAGTAAGTTTTTACATTTTAATTATTTGTCCTATTAAATCTGTCCAGAAGCACTAACTTCATCTGTCCAGGATCTATATCAAAGAGGGACAACAGAAAGAGGGAAACCCTATGTTAAGGGCAGTGTTGGACCAGGAAGAAAGGTCTCCCACACAGGGACCCTCTCTGAAGTTAGCTAACCTTTTGAAATTTGAACTTTCTCTCCCTTGGTTTCCCTTTACTGGACTCAACAGTGTCATTTTCCTTTGGAGTGCTTGCTGAAGATAGGCAAATAAAAGATCATAAATCTTTTTTACTAGGTGAAGCATTTACTACTCTAATTAGCATTGCCATTCAAAGACTTTCCTATTGGGGAAACAAACACTAGCATTCCACGTGTGCTTGGGTTAAAGGGAATCTTAAATCATGATTAAGCAGAAGTGGAGGGCAGCAAGACACAGGGTTTAGGCATTGCCTGTATTCTGATAGTCATCAAAACTTGGTACTGACATGCCACAATGCTAAAGACACACTGTCTCAGGTTATGGGGAAAAGATAAAACCCCAGCCTAATATTGTGGGTTTGTAAAAAATAACTCATATATTATTTCTGTGTGGGTTATATTATAGTAGGTCAGCGCAATATGCTAACAAGCCCCCAAAATAGAGTAGGGTACATTTCACAGAGGAAGTGACAGACAAACTGGGTCTTGAAGCATGAATAGGAGTCTACTCAGCTATAGAAAACTAATGAAGACAATTTGCTCACAACAAGAAAATGCAGTTTCTTAGGCCTGGATAATTCAGTGAGCCGACATCCCCCATTTCCTCTCACTCTCACTAAGTTGGTGGTGAGAGTGAGTACTTAAGTCCCTGCGGCGGGTCCCAGATTCCAGCTGCAAGCTGGTAGTGGTTCCACGGTGAAGCTGGATTGAAATAGGAAAAAAAAAAAAAAAAAATTTAACAAGCCTCCTGCGCATGCGCTCTCTCAGCTGGCGGCTCACTCCCCACCTCGAGCCTCGTGGGGCCCCAAACCCTTGGCCCCCAGAGGGAGCACGTAGCGCATTCGCGCAGTCTCCAGGCCTAGGCGGGCGCCTGCGCACGAGCGTTCTGGACCCGAGAGCCCGAGGTTATTAGAGGTGGAGCGCGAGGAGGGCGCGCGGTAGGAGGCGGCCGCCGTTACGGCGCGAGCGTGGTCACGTGGTCGCTGGTCATCGCCGCCGCCACCACCACCCCTCTTGCCCTGTTCTCTCTCTGGTCGGGCCGGTCGGTTCCACGAGCGCCTGGCAGAGACTGAGAGGGAGAGAGAGAGATTGAAAGAGGAGGGAGGAGGAGGATTCAGGGAGTAGGAGCTGGGGAGCCCTTCTGCACCACAGGTAAAATAAAATGATGATGATGATCGTAAAAAAGCTGAGCCCTCTGAGCGCCTCTGCCTTCCTCCAGTGCGTCCCCCACATGCAGTGACTCCCGCCCCGGCTTTCCTCTCAGCCCCTCAGGAGGAGCCCCGAGTGCCGCCTCCCTTCTCGCTGCTGTAGCTACCGCCTCCTCACGGGAAGGCCTGAGGGTGCGGGTGCTGCCGCCGCCGATGGATAGTCGCACCGCCCCGTGCGTGTGCGCTTCCCGGGCGGCGTGCGGGTTGGGTGGCGGGAGGGAGGCTCCCCAGCTCCAGGGCAGGAGGGCGTGGAAACTGCCTTCCTCAGCCTGCCTGCTTTACCCTCTTCTAGAGATTGGGGTCTAGGCTGCAAGTCCAGCTGCAGCCAGAGGGCAGAGCATGGTGGTTGGACTAAGGCTCAACTTCCTACTTGGTAAATTTCCCTGTTCATTTCAGCGCTGGGTAGCACGCTTCCTCCGCAAGCCGGAAGCGAAACTGACCGGCAATCCCAAATCTTTTAAGATGCAACCTTTGCAAGAGGTAGAAATCTTTCTCACCGTTGAGGCAACCAAAGAGACTTTGTTTTAGTACGACTTAAGTTTATTCATCTGTAAGACCGTGCAAGTTGAGAGGCCTTTCAGGATGCGAAAAACTTCGCTGAGGCTGAAAGTTATTTCCCCCTCACCCTACTTTTCCTGGAAAAACTAACACAAATCTCTCAAAACAATTTTCGGTTCTACAAATGACTTTTTCATGCTAGTTTTAATTCCAGGAATATGATGTGTGCTTACAATTTACATCCTTAAGCTTTCTTTTAATGACTTAAGGAAAAAGTTTCATTTGTCAACTTTAAATTGGACCGAATCCCGAAATTTTAGCACGCAGATTGCACACCTTTGGACCAGAGTTCGTAGAAATTTCTAGATCCAGTCATTCTTTTGTACTCTGGACAATAAAATATAATCTCAATAAAATTATTGCATACGTTTTTTGCTGATGTACTAAATAGTGACTCAAAGCAGGAAGCATTTAACTGTACGCATTGTTGAAAATAGTATAAATCTTTTGAACGCCTCTGATATCACTGGTAAAGAAATTTAATTATATGTTGTTTATTTCTCATAATGAGGTTTCCTGAGTCCACATCTTGCTAATTTTCACAGCATATGTCTGAATTCATATGGAAAATCGAGCATTTTAAAATTATACATCTATGCGGTAGTCATATAGAACATTGCTTCTCAAACTTTAATGTACATAGGAATCCTTTGGGACTCTTGTTTAAAGATGCCAATTCTGGCTGAGTAGATCTGTGATTCAGCTTGGTATGCTTCTAGGTGCTGCTGGACAGGGAACCATCCTTGAGTTGCAAGGATGTAGATAACTTGTGTGTTAAGAAATAAAATGATGTGTCGTTGAACAAGTGCCTTTTAATAATTCACGCTGGCTGGAGAGGTGGCTTGAGAGAAAGGGCGAATAGCTGGATGGACTGAAAAGGCTTCCCTTAAGGAGATCCCTTATGCAGAGTGAGCAGGCCAAGTTTGGGTCCCATGGAAGGGAACGGCAGAAGAATTGAGGGAGGGGTGGCCGCCCCAACCAGGAAGAGTGCAGGTACCAGGTGTGTATGCTGTGTGGTGTGCGAATTTTCTATGGAAGCTTGCTGTACTTCCATCTGAAGGAATTGCTCAGCAATGGGTAGTTGGGTTTTATCAACATATGTTTCTGAGTGCACTGCTGGGATGAGTTTCTTTAATTGGTGGAAGGATTGAGTGTGTGCTCTTTCTCCGAAATGCAGCCTCATGGAGAATTGCTGTCCCAAGCCTCGGAAGCAAACTTTTTAAACAATTAAGGGTCTCCACCTGTAGAGGGTATGCTTAGTGTATTCAGATTTTTCCCTAATGTAATAAAACATAAATTGAAAAGTTTGAAAGTGTCGTGCAAGTCCTCAAATACTTTATGGATATAAAAATGGTCGTATTGTACTTAACTTTTAAACAACTTTATGGGAGTATAACATCAACTATTTTTATACTGTAATTTTTATAATGATTAGTTCTTACTTTACCATTGTTTATGTTACCAAGTAATATTTCTGACAGTACTTTTGAAGTAGTTACTAAGTACCAGGCACTGTTCTAAGCACTTTACCAATCCTGACTCATTTAATCCTCACAATTACTTTTAAGGAAACTGAAACAGAGAGGGCGAACATCCCATGCTCATAGCTAATGCTCAGCTGGGGTTCTGGTTAGCTGACTCTGGAGTCCATGCTTTTAACAATTCTCTGTTCTGCCTTTTTAGAAGATAAATTAATGATATTCTTTTATGTCTCTTTTCCTATTGTTAAGAGTTATGAGCTTTTCTTTCATTTTAAAATTCAAAATTGTCATTATTTTAAAAATGTCTCCTATTCTTTCCCATTTAGAAGTGAACTAGTATTTGTTCTTCAATGTTTGTAATCATTTGTGAATAAAATACTGAAATTTGCAAAGATTTATTTTGTTTGCACTTGCTTGGTGGACCAGTCTCTTCAGTTTTTATGTCACTATTAAATGCAAAAGTAGTATCTGCTTCTGTTTGACCCTGCAAGTTTTCAGTCCCTTATTTCCTGCCTATGCCTGAACTTAATACATGTGTATGTCTTCTTGACTAGATAGGCAGAGAACTGGAATATAGGATCTCTTTGTTAGCATTTTGTGTCTTTAGCACCTAGTGTAGGTCCTGGCATGCAGTAGTGCTCATTAGATATCCATTAGTTTGTATGAAAAATATCTAAAGATAATATCATTCAGTCATTGTTCTGTGCTACATATGGTATCTGTGACTGACTCCATGAAAATATTTAGTAATTTCAGATTTATTATTTGTCTTTTTTTAATTTCTTGATTTTTGAGAGAAAGGAAGGGGGACAGAGAGGGGAAAGAGAGAGAGAGAGGGAGGGATAGAGATATCAGTTTGTTGTTCCACTTAATTTATGTATTTATTGGTTGATTCTTGTATATGCCCTGACTGGGGATTGAACCCACAACCTTGGCGTATTGGGATGCCACTCTAACCAACTAAGCCACCAGGCCAGGGCCTGTTACTTTTCTTAACCAGATGCCTAGGAAAGGTGGTTATTGTATTACTTTTTTTTTTTTTAAACAAAATAGATATAAGAGGTTTGAAATAAGTATTATAGGCATTTGCAGATTTTCATGAATTTTTGTAGGTCAGGAAGTCTACATTTAGAAGAATGATTTACTTTCTAAAATTGGTTAGGCTTAATTTTATGTGATAATTTATGACAGAATAGTAATGGTGTATCTGTCTAAAGAAAATGATGCTATGGGTGTGTATCTTAGGTCAAGTAATTACAGTGATTGTTTAGCCTACCATGAGAAATTTTTTCTCTTCTGTTACAAAAATTAATGCCTATTGTGGAAATTTTGTAAAAATAAATGATCAAAAATAACTACCCACTCTGTTGCAAATTTTTAAAAGTTTTCTTCAGGGTTATTTTGCCTTGAGAGGGGCTGAAAAAAAAGATTTGTATTGCAAGTACTAGTTTCGAAAGATGAGTCACAATTTTGGTTTGCAGGAATGTGTTAGTGTTACTAAAAATTTGTTCTAAATAAAATGAAAAGTTTGAACCAAAGTCATTAGGTCTCCGCTTTATTGTAGTGCGTCTTCAGGATAGTTAGGTTAGTGAGAAGTAAGCTCCCACTTCTGATATAACTACTTGGGGGAGAGGCTTCCTCCTTCTGATGGAATCGGGGTGATAACAGTGCAAGTAAACTGGCTCTAAGTTACAGGCCCTGGCTGCAGAGGCATGCATTTGTTTCCTGATAATTACTGGGAATCAGTATCGACCTGTTGAGAATTTCCCAGAATAGGTACCTTTGGAGTTGTCTCAGTAGCTACCTTGCAGGTAACTCCAAGAGGAGTTACTAATACTATTATCTCTTGCCATCCTGGGGTGAGACAGTGGATTGATTATCCTGGATCTCTGGTAGGGCTTCCAAGGGGAGATGGAGTTGATAGGAGATGAGTAGGTGGTCCTATTATTTCCATCTTTGTTTACTGTGTCCCTTAAACTAGGCTTCATGAAGTCTTGTGGTAAGAATAGTCATTTAGATAGGTAGATGTGTGTGGTATAGTGAGGCTTGAGAGAAAGTGCCTCCCTTTTCCAACCTTCATTTCTATTAACTAATCCAGGGGTAATTTTCATGTCTTTATCCTATGTGTCGTGTGTGTGTTGTGCATGTATATTGTTAGATATATACAGATAAACATGAGTATGTGTAGATTTACCTACCACAGATTTTTAAAACCAAAAGTGGATTCTTGCCATTTTGATGCTTGCATTTGTTTTTCATTTAACATTTCATATTACTAATGTTGTTACTCTTCCACATAATTTTTAGTGGTTCCATGATATCCAATATTTTATTGTGTGAATGTACTATAAGTAGTCCTCCATTCTTCAACACCTAGATTCCTTTCAGTCATTATGACAAGCAGTGCCACACTATCATTATTGTAGCTAATATCCCTTTGGGCAGGTGCATTATTATTTATGAAGGAAAAATTGTTGTAAGTGGAATTATTGGGTCAAAATATATGCCCATGATTGACACACACGGCCAGATTGCCCACCAGAAAGGTTGTACCACTTTATCCTTTACTACAAAGCTTGCTGCTATTGGGTGTTGCCATCTCTTCTTTATTTTAAGTTTTATTAGGGTATAATTGACTTTATACTCGCTCCCCTTCTCTCACAGGTTTTAACATTTTCTCTAGTTACATTTTTCTTTTGTGTATCTTGTAGGCTTTTTCTACCTTATGTTTATATAGCTACTAATTTGTATTTCAGTTCTTCTTATACTTTTTCAGTTTTACATTTCACATTTGCAGAACATGTTTGGTTGTATAGTGTGAAGTATAAGTTTTAAAAAACTTGAAGGTTTTAAAAAACTTGAAGCTTTTTATTAGCCCATTTTCTTGATACTACTCAATGAATGA